AAAAACTGATGTTCGTCTTTTATTTTTTTCTCTTCCTGATCTTCTCAACATCTTTAGGAAATATTTTATTGGTATTTAACTACATGTAAGCAGGATTGTATCCGCAGAAATTAATTTTTAATGGCCATTAAAGGATAACAACAACTTCCTATTTTTAAATCTTATTCAATTATTTTAACTCTTTAAAACCCAAAACAACAATGGTTGTTGTTAAAAAGTAACTATTTCTGACAAAAACAAAAAGTAACAGCATTTTTACACAACCAACAAGATGTGATGAGATCTTCTTTCAGCTGAGAGCAGAGTGTCAAAGCTGGAATGCTGCTGTCTCCTTCATACATCATACATCATACATCATATATCATACTTAAGTGGTCAGTAGAGGGGGCATGCATAAGTGCACTGATGTGCCTATCGGGTCTGTCATTATATTTTTTTCTTTTACTATTGTTCTCATTTTTGTTTGAAAAATTCTAATGAATAAATAAAATAAGTAAAGGTGGGAATAAATATATCTTATATTTGGATTTTTTTCCAGGTCTGGCAAACCAATGAGGAATATTCCACCATTTGAGCTAACTGAGCTAAGGCATGACCTTTTGGTTGTGGAATTCCTACATTGGTAAATCCAACACATAAAGTTTAGTATGGAATCTTGTTTAAAAAGATATGTGGAGGATGGACACAATAGTAAAAGAATAACCAGCATGTAAATATTTTAATAAAGCCATTACAATAAATGAAAACATCAGAAATTGCTTCTTGAAACAGATTACAGTATATTTAACCAGACACCTTTTCTGATCTTCTTTCATTTCTGGCTACAAGTAAAAGGGAGGTACCACTTTTAGGCTCTTATTAAAATCAAGATGATGTTCATCTTTGCTGGACAAAAACTTCATCCCTGTATTGCATTTCATTCCCCCATAAAAAACATCAGTGGGGCCCAATAATGCTCAGAGCAGTCTGCAATTTCCTTTCCTAGTGTGGCTCATGGAACCTGGCACATCTTTCAGGCTACGCAGAGCATTTGCCTTGTTTCCAATCATTTTGCACAAGAGCATTGCCCTATAAAAAGGGTAGAGCTTTGAACTGAAAGTAGGCAAAGGTGCCCTTTCTCAAAACACTAGCAGAGGTGTGGGGTGCATAGGAGCTGAAGTGGAAAGCCCCACCTAAGGTTGTTCATCTTGGCCAAAGCAACTTGCTCCTGCTGCCTCAGCCACAGCTGTCAGTATCCCTTGGCTCCAGTTGGAGGAGGAAAATTCTTACCTCCTCTGAGTAAAACTCTAATCATTTTGTATTATTTGGATCACTGCACCATTGTTTTCCCTGCACTTCTCCAAAAGGTTACAATAAGACAGTTCGGGGTTAAATTAGGATTAGTGTAGGGAAAAAATAGATGGTTACAGGAAAGTCGTTGGCAGGAAGGCAGGAAGGATTGGGAATCCAGAAAACTAAAAATGTGCAGGGGAAGAATCACCTAGTTGTAGGGGATTCCAGAAGCGGATAGATCGACGGCATCAGTTCTGATTTTGGGCCTTGCTTGTTTAATTGTTCTGATGGGTATGTGGGGGATCTTTACGGAGAAAGTTGCTGAAAAATCTTCAGGAATGTCGACGTGCAATGCGGGGTGTACGCTACCCCTCCCCCCTGCCGCCCGCCTCCTGCCGCGGCAAAAACCGCTAGATTCGAGATGAGCCGCTTCTCGGCTTCCCGGAGGGAGAAGTGGCAGACGCGGCTGAATTTTCAGCTTTTACCACATCTAGAAGTAGAGTCTTCTTTTCACCCCGACAGGCCTCTCTCAGCAGGCACGGGCCAGCTGGATGGAAACGCCAAGCAAAGAAGCGGGAGCTTTGCGCGGATTTAAGCGAATAACTAAAAGAAGTAAATGCGGACAAATCAAAGGAGTTTCATTTCCTTTGGCTGACTAAACCTTAAGAGTTTTTCCTGAAAACTATCGAGTGGTTCACTTTCACTTCCCTTCCTTGCCTTGCCACGATCGCTCTCGCGGGTCAGACTGATGTTGGGAGTTTTGAGAGGCCCCTGGGAACAGGATGAGGGGTAACAGAATACTAACTACGACATTCAGCATTTTGGCCATTCTTGGGCGACCCTGTTTTTTATCCAACAAACTGGGTGGGGGGATCTACTCCTGCCGAGCCCACAAAGAGGATGACGGGGCTTAGACACTGCTCCTCCGGCGCTGTGGGCTCTGGGGCGACCAGGCAGCGCTCGGAACGTGGCGGCGTTGGCGGTTGGATGCGCCGACAATAGCGGGCCATTCGGCGTCGGAGACCGAAGAGTCACCGCCTGCCCCGAGGCCACGTTAAGAGTGGCTCTGAAAGGCGAGGGGAGAATGGATAATGCAAAACAAAACGCGTCCGCCAAGTACCCGGTTTGTCCGGGAGGCGGAAAAAGAAAGGCGAGTGCGGAGCGGAGGGAATTGGCCCTCGGAATGGAGCCTTTCCCTGGAAAGGGCGCCTGAGGGCAGTCCGGATTGACGCTCTACTGACCGAAATCGTCCTCCGCATGCCGCCTTCTCCTTTCAGGCCTCGGCGCTCGGGACGGGGGGGGGGGAGCGGAGATCAGTGCTCCTCTGACCGCTCCCTTGAGGGGGATCGAGGAAGAGGAAGAGGCGCAGAGCAAACCCGCCTCTGCCGGGGCCTTTCTACTGGCAACCGGGCTGCCTCTGGCAAATAAAATTCCCTCGGTAGGCAGCGATTGGTCTCCCGACTTGTTCGCCCTTCGGGAGGAATTGACGCTTGCCGCCCGATCCCGCCCTTCCTTAGGAACGTCTCCCTCCTCCCACCGCTGCTTCTCCTCTGGAGGAGGAAACCGCCAAGGTGGAATCGCCTCGTCCTTAAGAGTTCTCTTGAAATGGACTTCGACGTTCAAGTTTCACTTTTTAGCCGGGTCACGGTTGTTGCGCTTTGGGCTTCAGTCCAAGGTTTATAGGGGCTTTTTAAAAAGTCCACACGAAACCCTTTACCCGCACGGGTAGGTCCCAAATGTTGACTGTAAGGGAAAGGACCCCCGACTTTTCCAGGGCAGAGGAAGGAAGGCGCTTAGGAGATGGAACCAAGCGCCACCGAAACCGCGGCGTGAAAGTATCCCGCGGAGATAAGCGGCTGGGAACCACTGCGGGCTGCGCATGGAGCAGATAGGGTAGAGGAATCGAGAGGAGAGCTCTTTAGGGACGACCCGCCTTGGGGAATTGTCTTTTGGGGAAGCGGGCTCCCCTTCCTTGCTTCTCTACTTCGCCGCGAAACAGTTTTGCCGCCATGGCACCGGAACGCTGCTCTCCTATTAGCATTTCATCCAGATGTTTATTACAGTAAAAGAGGGCGAGTGCGCAAGAGAGATTCCAATTATAAATCCTTATATTTTTAAATACGAACTGTAAGCGATTCAAGTAGATATCTTTGTAAAAAATAATAATTGACACGCTCGGGGAGGAAGGTTCAGTGAGAAGAAAACCAGGTCTGGAATTTTTCCCTTGTCCCAAACCTGGATTTCAACCATAGTTTCCTTGCTCCTTGCTGCTCTCTCTGCCTGCTTTCCTCTTTAGAAGGTAGCGGGAAAACTTTACCGATAAAAATAACTGCAGAGCAGGTTTGCAGTCTTTTGGCACTGATCCTGACCCTCCTAGTAAATTACTCAGCGACCTTCAATTCCTAATTCCTAATGTTTCCCAGATAGTCACTTTGAAACAAGAAGTAATTGACTCTGTTACAGTTTGCTTTAAAATGAACTTGCCTATCGAGGAAGCCAGTTGGAATTACCCATCAGTTCCTTGCAGTGCCTAAGCTGTTTCTGATCTCTGCTGGTTTGGGTTCTTGCACAACAGCAGCGAAAACGTATAAATCAAAAAGAAAGAGTTCTTATTTTAGAAAAAAAGTGAAAGGCTTTTCCCAGTTGCCCAACTTCAATCTTTAGGCACGGAGCCTTGGCCTCTGTCTCCGGGGTGAATACGCTCTATAGCTGGGTTCCAAATTCCCCTGTTTTATTATTTTAGTGAAGGTGCCGCTTTGTTCCAACGATGCTCGTTTTTAATCTTAGGTAGATCCGGATTTGCTTTTGTGAGGAGGGCAGGCAGGCAGGCAGGAAGGGTGATGAAGATCTGTGTTTTATAATTCCTACCGACAGCAATTTAAATTACATATTACCAGCACATTACGAAGTCCGTAATGTGCTGGTTTGGATGACCTGCCAAGTTTTCCCCTCTCAGTTTGTCGGCTGCTTTATCCTCTTAAGTGAGAACCTTTACGGTCTGTAGGTACATTCTCATGTTAAGGATAAATAAAGAATATGAGAAATAAAATATGATCGATTTCTGAATGGATACGCACGGGTTTGCACTCTAAATGACTATTAGTTTTGCTTTGTAAAGAAAATCGACTGAAAGTAATGATTAATCCAGCGATTCATTCAAAAATCTAAGTCTCAATAATGTATTTCTTAAAATTAATAACGGGAAGCTATCTTAAATATTGCAATTAAATTTGTAAGCAAAATATAATTGAAGCAAACAAGTTTCTACGTTTAGTCAATGCAGTCGAGATGTGTTGTACCCTACATGGGACCATCCTACTCATTCCTTGTAGCGTTCGGGGAGAGGGTGGCTGTCTTTTCCTTTTCATGGAAAAGGTGATTCAGCTCTTCTTGCCAGTTACAGCAAGAAGGATGTCCAGGAAAGCCACCCAACTTGGTCCAACCTGTATCATTCCCCTTCTCCTCCATAATCCAGGCCGCATTTTGCCTTGGGCTGAAGCCAGAGGCTGCCCAGCCTCTGGCAAGAGCCAATCAGAGCGCGCCTTCTAGCACGTGGAGGAGAGGGAATCAAGAGCTAAGCGATTGCAGCGCAGTCACTACCCTGGTTCCTCGTGTCCTGGGCAGGAAGAGGGGCGAGCCTCAGCTGCTGCTTAGTGGGGGGAGGGGTACCAACCCCAGCCAAACTTCAACCCCCGCACGGCCCGGGAGAGTGCAAGCAAGCCAAAGCCATGAGCAGCCAATATCAAGAAGAGAACTGCTCCGAGAGGCCCGAATGCAAAAGTAAATCGCCAACTTTGCTCTCCTCCTATTGCATCGACAGCATCCTGGGCAGGAGGAGCCCTTGCAAGATGCGGCTGCTAGGAGCAGCTCCTAATCTGTCGCCTCTGGCCAACCGGACGGAGCCGGACAAGGCAGGGCAAGGTGAGAAGGGTGGAATGAGGGTGGAAAAGGGTGGGAACATAGGTTCGAAGAAATGAAAGGCAGATCCCTGTCTTACCCGCAGTCCTGAATGTCGTCTGATCCCATCCACTCCACCCTTGGCCCAGGGATTGCATAGGGAGGAGGCGGTTCTACGGTAAGTAACTGTGTCCCAAACTCGGGCAGTCTCAAGTTGAGCAGTCAGACAGTTGAAGGTTGAATCACGTCCCGAAGAATTTCCCTCCCCATGCGCCCTATTGTCTCAGTATCTCTCTCTCCGGTGCACCGGGCTGAATCCTAGCAAGGTTTACACTACTCGGGGAGAAGGCGGGGCGGAGGGCTGGATGCAAAACAGAGGGTTTCTTTTTCTGCTCTCCTCACTTTACGGGTTTGTACGGGTGGCGTTGTGATGGCAAATGTCAACCGTTGTCAAGAGTTCTGTGCGGGTATTTTCTCCAACTTGGCAGCGCCTTTGCCTGCCAGGCCTAGATGAACGGCGAAAGCATCTGGCTGAAGGAGAGAGGGCACTCCAGTTCAGTGTCCAAATCTTGTAGGAAATTAAATGTTCCTTTCTCCCTTCTGATTTTCTTCATGAAGGGAGAAAGGGGGAGAATTCGGCTTCTTCTAAACCACTTTCTCTCCGACCTGGAGTTTCAGGTTTGGCTTCAAGGGCGGGTCTGTTTTACTACCTCCAAAGAAATGTGGAAATTAAGTTGGCAGAACCCCATAAGTGTCAGATGCCCGCTGGAGGAGGGAGACTCCTTTTAGTTGGTATTTGAAGGTAATAATGTTTGAAACCAAAATGAGGTTGGGAGATGTTCTCCTGCACTGCTGTTTGCTGCAGCTGCTTTCAAATATAAGCTTGGTTCTATATTCTGTAAACCTGCCTGAAATCTGTTTACGAACAAAACAGACTTTGTCTGTTATTACAAAAATGGGGAATTGTCTGGATTCCAACGGAATTCCTTGCGTTCTATTGACTCAACCTAGACAGCTGAGGAGGAAGATGGGCGGGTTAGGATGACTCGCGCTGGGACTTTTTGCAGGAGGAGCCCCTCTTGCCAAGAAGCCCATCTGTAGCTACTGGACTGACGATCTGTGCATGTCTCTGTCTCTGGCAGGACCAGGCAAGGGCAGCCCACCCGGTTTCGAGATGGGCGAGCTGCATCTGCCGCCCAAGTTGCGCCGCCTCTATGGGCCTGGTGGGGGCCGATTGCTGGCGCGGGCCGAGCCAACCGCTTCGTCGTGGGACTCTCTCAAGATCAGCCAGGCGCCACAGGTCAGCATCAGTCGAAGCAAGTCCTACCGGGAGAACGCGCCCTTTGCGCGTACCGCTCGTACCCTCGAGGACTTGAGCAGCCCTGGAGGTGGCGGCAGCTCCGACGGTAGGCCAAACCGAGGGGAGGAACTGCTGGAGGAGGAGGACGACGACGAAGAGGAGGAAGAGGAGGAAGAGGAGGCCGAGGAGGTGGATGAGGAGTTGGACGAGGACGATGAACTACTAACCGAGGCCAAAGATGCCCGCCGGAGCTCGGGGTCCGCGGGTGGGACTGGCGTGGGGCCTACGGCGATAGGAAGCGAGGGTGCCGGTGACTTGCCCAAGGAGGAGCTACTGCTCCCTGCAGACGATCTGGCCGACTGCAAGGATGGTGAGGACAGCGTGTGCCTGTCGGCGGGCAGTGATTCCGAGGAAGGGTTGCTCAAGAGGAAGCAACGCCGTTATCGCACCACCTTCACCAGCTACCAGTTGGAGGAGCTCGAGAGGGCCTTCCAGAAGACCCACTACCCAGACGTCTTCACCAGGTAGGGAATGAACTACTGAGACAAGCTAGCCTCCAAGCGGCTGTAGGGTGGGAAGGGGTTTCTAAGTCAGGATGGAACGTCGAAAGAACTCTTAGGAATGAGGAAAGAGCTGCAAGATCCAGAAAGGCGAATCGACTGAGCATAAAATCCTCTGGGGCGAAAGTTTTTTTAAAATATTTGTTTCGAGTTTTGCATGTACAAGTTCAGAAGGAAACGGAAGGTGAAAACAGGTAGGCATAAGAAAGGATACTGCAGGGCTGGAAAGGGTGGGAAAGATTTGAAGAGGAGATGCGCGTCACAGATATTCTTCGGGTCGTCCTCCACAAAACGTATTCTTGTGCCCTGCTTTGCTTCTTCCTTCCGCTATTCCCGAGCTTTGGCCAGTCACTTTTCCCCCAAATTCAGCGGCCTTCACGAGTTACCGGGTCTCCGCTGGATTTCAGGCGTTAAGCTAGTCTGCCAAGGATAGGTGTGGCCGAATTTTTGGCCACATAGTTGCCAAACCAATCTATTTTTGCACTGATCCTCTGGCTAGTCTGTCAGGTATCAGTTTCACAGTTTTCCGTTGAAGCTGGAAAGCTGCCCTCTCAATGGAAGTCACATACATACAGATAGGAAAAGATCAAAGTATTCCGCTTTCGAAGGCTAAAAATATGGAACGGGGCGACAGTGTTCGGCCAGAGCATTTTGGCAGCGGCTGCAAGGGCTTGCCTGCCTGCTCGCAGACGGTAGTAATTTCTGGACGGGGTCCGGAAAATAGGAGATGGAAAAAATGGAACTGGGGCCGAGAAATCTGTTGCTATTCTTTGGATGCGTATCAACTTAGAAAGGAAACTCCGGTCAAGCTGAGAACTACCGAATTTTCTGAAGGGCTGGGCGGAACTTTCGGTGCCAGCCTCCATCCAAATATTTAGTAAAATGGTTTCCTGAATATTTGCATTTTGAGAGGGAAAATCTTCGCCTTTCCTTAGCTTCAGATTTGCTTTGGGTGAGCTTAACTCGTCGTATTAACCCTTCTGAATTGATAATTAATCAATAATATTAATCAGCCCTTTCCTTACGAATTCTTTCATTTTTGCAGGAGCGCAAATGCTCCCAATCTATTGCCAACAGATAAAACAAAATATGCGCTGCTAATAAAACTCAACCCAGTCCCTTCCTTTAAAGGGCAATGAAGATGGGGGAGGGGTATACTCATGTTGAACTGCAAAAAAGTGAATTCTTTGCCGGAGCGAGCTCTTATTCTACCAAGTTCGTAGGCAATTTCCCTGGGTGCGAAGGAAGTATCCGTCTGTAAAGTCGGGAGTTTACTCGATCTTATCCTTTTTATCAATTGCCTGGGATTCTTCCTCTACTTTTATTCTCTTCTGAGGAAGAGAGAAAGGGGGAGGGAGGGATGTCCCTTTAAATTCGTTAACCTGCTACAGTGCATGTTATTTCCTCGAGAAAAGGGGCTGCGTTTGGATGATGGGAAGAAACTGACGGATCCCTTGCTAAGGCGGTTTCTTCGCTATCCTTTTATAGCTGCTTATTCTGAACCGCCAGTCAAACTCGATTGTGGTACTACAGTGCCAATCTCTGTCACTGATACGCACTCTACCTCTCTAGCCTAACCAGAACCCAGAAAATCGTTCCGTCTTTTCCCTGGAAATGGGCCAGCGGAGCACACCAAACAAGTCTGATTCCAGTGCCAAAATCCCGATATATGAACATGGGGGTGATGTCGGTTTTTCCACTGTCCCGGACACACGTCAGTGCAGAAATGTACTGGGTTCTTTAAATAGTTCCTGCAGTTCGGTCCGGGGGCTTCCTTTTTGGCAGCCCGAAGGCGCTGGTTATTTTTTCTTCTCGAGTCCGGCCAGACTCCCACTTTGGCCGGCACTGCGCTTTTCTTCCGAGTGGAGGGAGAGCCAATTATCCCGGGAGTCGCTCAAATTCGAAATAAACAGATTGTGAGCAGTTCCCTAACATCCTAATGGTTTCAGATTTGCTTTAATTGTTGCAATAATCACCGCAATGAAGGGCTCGTGTTGCAGCTCAATAGATCTCCCCTGTGCTGCAGCGTGGTATTTGGAGGTGGGAGCCTTCGTTAAAGGCCTTGCTGGAGATGCCAGAGAGGAGGTGGGCTCGGGCTTGACTCCTTCTGGGGAACGCTGCCCTCTTTCGCACGTTCTTTCTTTGTGGAGAAAAGGGGAATAGTAAGTAAATTGAGCTTGGGGAAAATCAACAGGTGAAGCCTATCTGGGCCACCTGATACCAGTCAGCGAGCTTGACGCTTAGGGTAAAATATTTCCAGCTTTGACCCAGGAACGGAGAGGAAGGATGGTCCAGGGAAACTTCAAATTGTGGGATATCCCACCACCACCAAAAGACTTTAAGACAAAAAGCAGGGGCTTAATTTGATGCGGAGCTGGGCAGATGTGGTTGCTTTTGATTTGAGCAAGAGATGAGAAGGTCGAACTGAACCGTGGACTTCTGCAGTTTCTACCTCACTGTACCTGTTCCCGGACCCCTTCAGAGATTCACCTGAGCACCTGTCTTGTACTTCTTTCCCTCTCAGGGAAGAGCTGGCGATGCGCCTGGATCTGACTGAAGCCAGAGTGCAGGTGAGTCGAAGGGGGAGGGGTTGGAAATTGATGTGGGAGCCAGATATCAGTTGGACATGGGAGCTTCTTAGTAGGGCAAAACGAAATGCTTAATCATTGATGTCATCCTCTTGGATTCATCCTCTTTCGTCCACCCCAAATTAAGTTTAAGAATGGAGGCAACTGCGGTGCTTCTCCAATTTTTTCTTTCGGAGACAATGTCCAGGAAGTCCCCAATAAACCTTCCTTTCTTTCCCCACTGCAATTAACATTTATGGCAATTTTTAGCCTCTCCAAAAATATCTCAAAGAGTAAGCCAGGCATGTTGGTGCAAGAGCAAAGAGGACTCAGAAGAGAACAGGGGGCTTTCTTCTCAACCGCCGCCTCAATCTCTCAGAGCCAGCTATTACTCCTGATTTCCTTTTGGGCTTGAGCATGCTAGGTAATTCAAGTAGGTTGGGTGGGAGGCAGAGTTGCCTCTGCAACCATACCCCCTAACAGATGGCTCGGTCTTTGGGCTCTGTGCTGAGCAAATCACTTTACACAGAAAGCCAAGTGCAGCAAAAGCATCATAAATTCCATATGGCTCATTTAATACACAACAGCTTCTCGCATTAGAGGAGCTAATGAAGAGCTCAGTTCCCTCCTCTCTGTTGACACATTTCTCTATTGTCAAACAGAGATGTGACAGCAACTCAGGATTTTCAGCTCAGGGGAATGAGTCGTGGGAAAGTTAAATAACTAAAAAAGAGAGTGAGCAAGAAACTGAGACACCCCCCCTTCCCCTCATCACCGTCTTTCTTTCTCACCCTCCCTTTGTTCTCATTCATGGGAGAAGATGTAATTAAGGAGAATATGAATTATTAGAATCTTTTGGTTTACCTTTGGGTATACTCAGACATTAATTCAATGAGGCAGAATGGTGGGGGACATTGTTAATTGAGTTGGAAACAGGAAAGGCGCACTGGAAGATAACAACATTTTCATTGCCTTAATGCTCAGTTCCTGGGCTGGCTGTGGTAGGGCTATAAGGAGGGCCTTCTTGGAGGTGATTAGAGCAAATCAGAGCTATGCAAGGAAGTCACATTTGTTGCCACTTATAATGCTTTCCTTCTTTCTCTTTCTCAAACTCTTTTATTTGGTGGAAGTGGAATCAAAATTCTTAGAAAGCAAATTCTCATTTCCTGTTCTTTCACATTGTTGTAATTGTTAATGTGACTATGCTACATCACTTTACAACAGGACAAAATATGCGAATATCTGATAAAAAATAATATTAGTTACTTTATGGAAATTCATTTAGCCAAGTTTTGGTTAAAAAAACATAGGAATGAACAGGTTTCTCTTTTGCTCTTTCTCAGGAAATAATAGAGGAAGGGCAGACCTGCAGAGATTATTAATAATGCTGCAGATGAATAGCTGCAAAAGATTATTTACTGTTATTAATTCTCTCAAGTATCAAAGTCTTTAAAATGTTTAACCTGCCACCTAAGTTGCCAAAAGCATTCAAACATTTGCCAAAACATTTGGCACTGAGAAAGGGAAGGATAGAGATAGTTACATGTAAAGTTTTAAATATATCAGGAAACATTAGATATCGCTTATTGAATATTGCAGCATGTGTCTTATGCAGTAGTATATACTTCCCATTCACTATCCCCAGTCATTGGCGAGACTACCAGGGGATGGAAGGGAATTGCAGATCTAGAGCAGAGAGAAAAAGACTACATCAGAGAAACTCCTCCAATAGAGAACCAGTAACAAAGTGCCTATTTCTACTATGAGAAATGTATTTTAAAAGCTCGTTCTGATGGCTCAGTCTGCTTTAAAGGGATAGATAAAGAATAGACATCAACAGAACATAAATAATCAGAATAATTTATTGTTTATATATGTCCAAGAGTTTCCTTTATACATTGAAGACAGGAGGACGATATATATTTACCAGCCAGGGCTAACAGTCTAAATCCCCTCAAAAAGGTTAAAAAAGAAATGCTGCATTAATGATATAATTAAAAGTAGTTTTTTTTACAACTTTTTTTTTTTACTTTTGAATAGGAAAACTTGAGAATAAGTCGGTCTCTATCTGTTAGAATCTTATATCTGCAGTGCTGATTTCTCGGGAAACCATAAAAAGCTGCTCAATATCTCAAATTTAGGTGACTTAGGTGAATCTTTGTTTTTGATTTATACAGAGTGAAGGAGTTTTTGATCCATTCACCCTGCAGCCTTGGCTTACTTCTCTTAATAAATAAAAGGACCAATTTTCTCCGCGTCCTCTAGAGAATAGATGAGAAACCCATAGTCTATTAGATTTCATAACTGTTTCCAAGAGATGGAGGGGCATTTCTTTCTATCTCTGCCAGAAAAGTAGATTACTGGGTGGCTTTCTGGAGTAACTACCCCGGCAAGCTTTCACCGTTTCCCCTGCTGGACGGTTCTGGCCAGGTTAGGAACCGATCTCTTGTTGGCTGTCCTCCGCAATGTCTCAGTGATCAGGTGATCGGGCTTCTGAAGATCGTTTGCTGGTCGCCGAGGAACAGGAGCGGGAAGGGCCGCGCTTACTAATCGCCTTGCCCCTTGTTTTCTTTTGGCTTCCAGGTCTGGTTCCAGAACCGGAGAGCCAAATGGCGGAAGAGGGAAAAGGCCGGTGCTCAAAGCCACCCACCCGGCCTTCCTTTCCCTGGCCCGCTGTCGGCATCTCATCCGCTCAGTCCCTACCTTGATGCTAGTCCTTTCCCTCCTCACCACCCAGCTCTCGACTCTGCCTGGACGGCCGCCGCCGCCGCTGCCGCCGCCGCCGCCTTTCCCAGCCTCCCACCTCCACCTCCGGGCTCTGCAGCCTTGCCCCCCAGCAGCACCCCGCTAGGCCTCAGCACTTTCCTGGGAGCGGCTGTATTTCGGCACCCGGCTTTCATCAGCCCAGCTTTTGGCAGGTAAACTCCCCACCCCGCACCTGGTGCCTTCCTCCCAATTGGTCAGCGGAGGACCACAGAATAGGTGCTGAACTTGAACAAGGGTAAAGTGAGAGGGGATTTCCTAGGAGTACGCATGTGCTGTGTAGATCCAGAAGCACCTATTTCTGAAGTCAAAGGGGCGGAGCTAGGGAAAAGTTGGTTCTTGTGGAAGATGGGTGGAACCCTTCCTCCTAAGCATTTGGAACACGGATATTTTAAAAAAATCTAAGAATTCTCAGTGCCAAGATTACATCCATGAAAGCTGGGGGGGGGGGAGCGATGGATGTGCCTTTTTCAACCTCCCAGATTTGCTGTCTAGCCCTTGGCTGCGATTACTCGGAAGTTCTCTGTACCCAATGTAGGCCTGGCTGCCGTAAGAATGGTGGTCCAACCTATTCACCTCATGTAGCTAAAGAATTCCATTTGGGAGGCTGTAAGAGTTCAGCCTCTTTGAGGAGGGTTGCACATTTTAGGAGTCCCCATTTTTTAAATTATGGATTTGATGGGGAAAAAAACCTCGTGCAAACGTCTGATTTTTTATGTTCTAACTGGACAGCGATCTATAAAAGCTTTGGCAAGTGTGTTTCGACGATTTAAGTTTAAACATCTGTTAGAAGTTGGGTATCCTTCTGCCCCATGATCTAGAGGTTGGGAATTATTTCCCTATAATAAGAGTATTTTACTCCAAATGCTTACAGAAAGAACTGCAATATACATTGACATTAAGTGGGGAGAGGGAAATCATAGGTGGGCCATATTTAATTAAACTCAATGCAACTGAAAACTCTGTGTTCGAGAGAGGCAGCCAAGTTCCCTAGCTTGGACGGCAATCAGCTGGATAGAAAAAAATATAAATCAGGCAGGGGGGAGGGCGATTCTGTAGTTGCATTTTCTTAGATAAATTCAAACAATGAGATAAAAAGCCTGAAGCTAATTAAATAGACAACGAGACAGTACCGAGTTTATTAAAACTGAAAAGATGAAAATACAAGGGAAATATTAACAGGAGAATAAAGGGAAAATGTATTCATTGGGGTACGACGACACTTAAAACAAAATTATCTTTTGAAGGATGAATGGAAATCCAAGTTAAATTAAGATTTTAAGGGGCGGGGAATGTCTACCAATGAAAATGAAACTGTTTCTGTTTCCTCTCTACAAGTAGAATGAGTCGATTTCCCAAACGTTACTACGCCCCCTACTGATCACGCTGTTCCCGCGCTTTAATGCTTTTCTTAAAACTCTACGTTGCCTGGTGTTGCAGCTCGCTTCCTCCCGCCAAAAACATTGAAAGAATTAGTTGCAAAAAGCTCGCTGAACATATTTTAATGGGCAGCCCTGAAAGTAAAGGAGCAGGGTGGGTGCAGGGAGAAAAAAAACCTCCCTCATCCTCATTTCCCTTTACTCTTAATAAGCAACGTTTTTAGGAAGATGTGCAGGCGATTTCAAACGGCTTCGGTTTCTATCTACTACACCTATCAGATTCCCCAGAGCTGCGGGACTAACCACGAAGTTCCCAAATTGAGGAAGATTAGTACTGCAGGTCTACCCCCCCCCTCTCCCCGCAGTTGCTCTCGGCCTCCATTCTGCAAACGAAAGGCTGCAGAAGTTTAGCCTAGCCAAGGCCAGGGCGGCCATTCTGAGTTGAACTGTATAAAGCCTCTCTCTGAGCACGGCGGGTGAGCTGGGGACAGAAGCCACTCCCGACGGGAACCAGGCGCCAGCTTCGGCAGCCTGTCCCAGAGCCTAGCCAGTTTGGTCTTAGTTGGTCCCTCCCGTTGCCTTCCAGGCCCGCAGTTCAATTCCTCGCCGCGCTGATGTCAGTAATCACCTCCTTGGTTAATGGAGAGCTCGTGTCTCTCGACGTGCCGGTCAAAGGGGGTCAGCTGAATAGCACCGGGAGAAATACAGGCGAAAAAAGAAGTAGGAAAAGCATGCCGCAGATTGTGTCATTGCTAGGCGTTGCCGGAGCGTAATTGGAGTTCCGCTGTGAGGCAATCCGCTAGAACGGCACTCCCCGCTGGGGAGGGGGATCTGCGCGGCAGCGAAGCCGAGAGGCGGGCGCCGCTTTGGGCATCCGGGCGCCGGGAGGTTTCTCATAAGACGGAGCAGGGTTGCCACAGACTGACACCCTAATTAAGAGGGCGAACGCAAGTTAGGGTAGCGCAGTTAAGGTCTATCGAAAGCCACCCTAGTCGTAGGTTGGAGAGAAGGGGCGAGAAGAGCCGAGGCAGCCGACATCTGTCTCGTTGCCTAGCCTCGCTCTCCGTGCAAGCCCGTTTCGATCTATTGCTAGTTTCTTGAAGCGAGGTACTGTCGCCAATACACGACCGACCTACCAACCTACAAACGCGACTCTGCTCGCAGGCATCGGGGCTTTTCAATCTTCCTCTTTCTCGAGCCTCCTCCCACAACTTTCGGGTTCAGAAGGGCTCGCGAAGGCTGTCCCGTCAGAAGCGTTCAAGCAGGCAGAAGAGGCGCCCTAAATAGGGGAAATGCGGGATTCAGTCCCCGGTTCGGGAGGAGGCCAGAAAGCGAACGCAAAAAGAGACTTCCTCGTTCTCCTGCGATTTCCTAATCAGGCTCCTCCAGTTCGAGGTTGGCAGGTTGTGGCCTTCCCGATTTTTGGAGGTCTGAAAAGCCGTCTGTCCTGCAAAAAGAATAAATCTGAAACCGAAAGGCTGCCCCTTCTCGCCACCAAAAAAAGCAACTGCGGGACTTTCGGCTATCTTTAAGACTGACTGTCCCGCGTCTCCTTTGCTTGCAGGCTCTTTTCCACCATGGCCCCGCTGACTAGCGCTTCCACTGCGGCTGCTCTGCTGCGACAGCCAGCCCCTGTTGTGGACAACGCCGTGCAATCGAGCGGCCTCTCTGACCCGGCCACCGCGGCAGCGGACCGGCGCGCCTCCAGCATTGCGGCGTTGCGCCTGAAAGCCAAGGAGCACGCGGCGCAGCTCACGCAGCTCAATATCCTCCCCGGGAACAGCGCGGGCAAAGAGGTGTGCTAAGCCGCTCCCGTGGGGGTTGGTGGGCAAATCGGCCGAGGCACGAATCCAAGACCAAAACGGGAGGGAAGCCAATGGACACACGCTTTCTGGAAGGGACAGAAGGCGGGGAGGCGCCACTTCTGCGGCTTCCCTTGGGCCAATCCGCAGGAGTCCACCCTTCCTCGGCCGGGAGTTTTTTTCCTTGCTAAATCGGCGACTTGGTCAGGAAAGCACTTGCCCGAGTTGCGGGAGGCTGGAGAGAAGACCGGGAGGTTGGTGAGATTGCTAAGAAAACAACCCAGAAAAGATGCTTGCTGACAGAGCCAAGGCTGGGTCAAAGCGAAGTAAAGCACTTGGGGAGGGGCGGGTCTGGTCTCTTGTCCACCGATCATATCAACCAAGGGTTTTATAGTAAACCAAAGGGAAATATAATGTTAGCATATGGACTGTTTAAGTTACTATACTGTGATACTCGATACTGTACATACCATTGTTATTAAAAAATACGAAAAAGAAAAAAAACCCTGAGCTTTGTATATTTGAAATGTTATATAATAATTGCACTCAGTGTAGTGTTTGTACAAGTTTGTCATTTCTGTAGATTTCTGTGTTGTAGATATTCTAGGGACCCTAGACAAATATTTATGTACAAATTCTTTAACTTATTAATTGTAGAGTTTCCCAAAAACCCCGAAAGAGAATGCCAGCAAGCCAGAGAAAGGCCATCGGAAACGTACAGTTGTGTAATGTTGTTATTGCTCTCACTTTTCCTTGCGATTAAGTGGGGAAGTGTTTACCCATAGAAAATAAATATATCTCTCTATATCCGCACGTTTATCAATAATTCCAAAAGCTACCTGGAGGTTCAGTCTCGTTGAAAATAACCATGCTAATAACAGGGAGGGAGGGTGTATAGGCAGATGCGAAAGATTCGAGTCCTTTACAGCAGTGTTTCTCAACCTTGGCAATTTGAAGATGTCCGGACTTCAACTCCCAGAATTCCCCAGCCAGCATTCGCTGGCTGGGGTATTCTGGGAGGTGTAGTCCGGGCATCTTCA